GACTGTACCAAATCACCTCTTCACTAAAAAGTATTTCAGGTAGCTAGGATTTTATATTAAAATACATAAAATCAGTTTTCGATTTGGTAATGTGAATTGTAATCCGTGAGGTCTTTCATCAGACAAGCTGGATGGTAGATGAGTTAACGCTGCTGGTTTTGTTTTATTTTATTGGTATCCAGGCTTCATCTGCAAGTTACTATAATGACTAGAAATTAGAGAGCCCTGAAGACACACCGTAAAACTATTAATACATGTTCAGCCACATAGGAATGACACAGGTCACCAAAGAGTGAGATTACATATAATGTGGTATTTCCAAACAGCTTGTAAGAGCTATTAGGGTTGCATCAATTTTACCAGTGAAATGAAATATGAATTACAGGCAGGTGTTATTCCTGCTTGAACACATTTAAATTAGTTGCAGCTCTCGAAAACAATCTTTTCCAAGGGTGGTCTTGCACTACTCGTGAGTACTTTAGATGTGCTGCTTTTTTGTAACACAGCTAAACCAGTTAGATTTTTGCATTCTATACACTTGTAAAGTCAGAATAGCTTGGTCTCTGTGTTGAACATTCCCCGCCCTCTCCCAGGCCTTTGCTGTTAATGGAAAGAAAACAGGAAGCTTTCAGAAAGTGTCAGTGAGTGTAATAATAACAACTTTTCATTTTCACCTAGTATAAATTTAATATGCCCTCAGGTGACAGCTCAGTCCTTTTGGTTAGAAGCATCATTGTTCTTAACCAGATCTGTTCTAAATACACAATTGGCTGAATGTGTTGCAGAAAACCAAGCCTTTTGAAGAAATTGGTTAGACCTAATTATGCCCTAGTTAACAACCTAGAGAAACAAGATGATATGACATTACTGTGTGACGGAATCATGATATGCTGCTACCTGTAGAAGGAGGAATTCAAGCTGTCCCAAGTACCTCTCAGGCCTGTATGCTGATACAAAATGAGAAGGAGGAAAGACAATGTTGTTACCTGATGGTTTCTGCTATCTAGAAGTATTTTTGCCAACTAAATTTTGAGGTTTTCATAGGTAGTACATTTCTGCAAACCTTCATTGCGGTGATGGTGTTACATAAACTGTTTTTTTTTTTTTTTTTTTTTTTTTTAAGAGTTATTTAATTTCTACAGCTTTGCACTGAGGCATGAAAGAAAAATGGTGGAAAAAACCTATTTTTATACTGATTTTGCCCTTCCTCTCCTTTGGGTCATTGCTATATTCAAAACAAAAAAGAAGACAATTTTTCTTTTTTTTTTTTTTTTATAAGTTATCCAAATGAAGTCACTGTGAGCAATTATGTAAAGCAGCATTTGCAATCCGTAAGTAGAAGAGCTTTTCTATAAGTAGAATCTCTAAGTAGAAGAGCTTAATTAATGTTAATTCATTAATTTATCAGATTTAGTTTAGCTGCCCTACAGAGGCAACTGTGGATTTTTTTTTCTGCCTTGAAATTACATTGCTTCATCATCTGCTGTATGAAACACACTTAGTCTCATAATACTATTTTAAAAATACATTGTTACTACTTTAACAGCTGGAGGCCCTGATGTTGAACTAACCATCTGCTGGTACCAGAGACTGAAAGAAGGAAGGAACAGTGAAAATACTTTTTTAGTAAATGACAGTGGTTTGAATAACTCAAACATCAATAGTAATAGCTTAGCTGCTGGTAAATCCTTCTCTCACAGTGTTAAGAGGTTTAAAATTGTGTCACTTTTGTTGTAGTTCTGTTCCTTCTATTCCCTTCTTTACCTTTTCTCCACAAAAAAAAAAAAAAATTCTTTTTCTCTCTTTTCATGATGGAGTGGATGCTCAGGCATCTGTGTTTTCTGCTGAAACACTGAGGATACTCAAGTCTTGCCAAATGATAATAGTGGTCCTTGAGTGGACCAGTTATTTCATGAGAGTAATTGGAGCAGAGTTACTCTTCTGTAGGAGTTTTGACTTCTAGTGAAGTAAACACATTGTTTTCATTACCGAAGGAGCAGAACATGTTTTTTTCTGGACATAGCTGATCTCCTGTCCTTTGCTGCATATTTTGTGTTAGCTGTTGAGGCTGTAGAGTGGCACAAGATGTTTAAAAGAGGGCTGTAGCCTGATCTAGAGTTTTCTGTAAATATAAATCACATAGAGTTCAACAAATCCAGCACATAGTAGGTGTGAAAGCCTTCAGTGTAATCTGATAGCAAATGTTTATTTTGTGCATTTGGATGAGTCTTTTTAAAGTGTATGCTTTACAGTGCTATTCAGTGGCTTGGTTTTCTTTTTTTTTTAAAAAAAATTGGTGTACTTATTTTTAAAAAAGTTTTTCCTATGGAATAGGAGTTAATCCTTAGTAATGACCTACTTTTTAAGGACTAATGTAGATGTTAATGAAAGTGAAACAAAAGCCCTTGGTTAGCAGCAGTGTAAGTGAAAAGCAGAGTAAATTGTGTTCATTAACAGTAATAGAAATTGCATCTAAGAGCAGAGGAAAATGATTCATTTCTCAGCTGGTGGTGAAACATTGCATTTCAGTGGTACAAAATGGCAATGTTTAAAGTGTGGAGTGAAGCTGCCAATAAAAATACACTGAAGGAGTCTGTCTCGAACCTCTTTGTTCTTCCTGTAACTTTAATCCTGTTTGTCATCTATTTTTTCCGATTTATTTTCATAGCTTTAGTGTCTGTGCATTGAATGATTTCTCTTCTTTCATGTAGGAAATCAGAGCTCTGTAGATCTTGTTCCTGTGTAATCTTATGTAAAACTCCTTATAACGCCTTTTTTTGGTAATTTTGTAAAGTACAACTTATATTTGGCAATACATATATACTGTCAATATACTGTATTATTATATATTTTCAATGTTTCATCCTTAATATTTAGGAAACAGCTCTTCAGGACTTGGAGTGTAGAAGGACGAATTATTCTTTCCTACACCCTTCATGCCATTACAGAAACCTTTGGTATTAACATGTTTGTTTCCAAGCCAAGGGGGAAATATCCAGTAATCTGTACACCTGAGAAGGGTGTAGCTAAGGTCTCTACTTGTTACATTATCAGTAGGGAAGCTATGTATGAAGGACTACAACACTGGGAAATGGCCCATTGTCCAGTGGTTGGAAAATAATAATAAAAAAAAAAATACCAAAAAACCCAACAGTCAGCCTAGAAAATCTGGTATTTCATGTGTCCCTGTCACAAATCTATCAATCTGTCAAATTTCTGGCTAATAGTAAAGAAATATTTATGCCTTCATTCCTAGTGCTGATAATTTAATTTTATTTTATGTATTTTGTGTATTCAGTAAGTGTGCTAATTGAGCAGTAAATCATGACTGTGTGTTTTGCAAGTGATTTGAAAGGTTTTATTTCAGTCAGACTAGTTTGGCACAGTGTTGTGACTATTATCAGTAGTCTGCATTTGGGAGTAAGTGTCTCCTCATGCTAAAGAAGATTTTGAAAAAAAAACTAGCTGTTATATGTTTCAACTGTTGTCAGCTTATGCGCTTTATGATCCAACTAGCATGCTTTTTTGAAACCTAGGCTTATTAAAAAGGTGTGCAATATTAGCCAAGGTAATGTTTAGGTTCTGAGACATTCATGCAGTTGTTTACTAGAGTTTTTAGAGTAATGCCTAATACTGTATCTTACTGTTGATTTTATAATTACTTATGGTTTTAAGGCAGCACAAGGTAGTGTGTATTTTTCAGCACATTACAGTTGTGAAGATCTTAAAGTTCAATTTCAGGATAAAGCTATGCTTTAGCAAGCTGCAGAAGTTACACAATATATTTAAAGTTAGGTTGAATCATATGCTGGCATGTATCAGCAGAAATCATCTACTTAGGCAAATACAAAAAGTGACGTAATATTACAGCTCTTTCTCATTCTCTTTTCTTCTATTCTCTTAGTATTATGCCAAAAAAAGTTCTGTGTTCATTTTCAGTTCAGAGGAGGTGAATCATTGCTGCTGTATGTACTTCCAAGCGTTGATTTTTTTTTTTTTTATTTTTGTGTTAAGTGGTCTTTCTTTTTAAAATATTGTGTAGGGCTCACTATCCTGGAACAAAAACAGTGCCAAATGCCTTATTAACTCAGAAGAAACTGTGGTCTTCAGAAGATTATAGTACTTTCAATGATGAAGTAGGTGCAGGCTGCTGGGCTCGGATCCTGAACCAAAACTACGTGAATGGAAACATGACCTCGTAAGTGTTGTTTTCTGGATAAATGTTTATCCATGTATATGGGTAAAGGAAAGCTTATTTTTTCTAGTGGTACTTAACCACTCCCCCAAAGATCTCCTCCAGAAGAACCTACTATCACCATCAGCAATAACCAACCAACAAAAAAACCAACAACACCCTAATAAAAAGCCATGAACCTTGCTAATTTATTTTTTTTCTACTTCAACACAGGTAAAAACCAATAAATGAAGTATTTAACCCTTAGTACACATTTCCTTTAATGTGCAACTTTTTATGCTGATGTAGCCAGAGAATGTATTGGTTTTGTAAGAAGTTCTCAACACTGGAAGTTTGTTTTCTTTTCCTCTCCTCTTTGTTTCTTTTTTCCTCTTTTAGCTGGAAAGAATTTTTTTTTAATTAAACTTCCTTTCACTGTATACTGAAGAAAAAAGATGAATAAATACTTACATTAAATTAATCTAATATTATGCATATAAATGGAGCAAACAAACACTTTTTATTCTTCCAGGACCATTGCCTGGAACTTGGTGGCTAGTTATTATGAAGAGTTGCCCTTTGGTCGATGTGGGTTAATGACAGCGCAAGAGCCGTGGAGTGGCCACTACAAAGTAGAAGCTCCTATCTGGATTACAGGTAAAACGTTTGCAATCAAAAGTTTGGTGACCTAACACGGAGCATAACTTGAATTTTCTGAGGCCTTTATTTAGTGGGTTTTGTGTGTATTTTTTTTTGCACCAAATTAAAGTAGTTTCATTGAAATTTTTGTGAATAAAGAAGAAAAAATCTTACCTCAAAAGAAAGCATAAAGACACAGTAGCAAGGGAGCTCTTAATACTTGACTATTAGATGCAGCAGAAATTAATAAACTACTGCCTTTTATGGCTGTTACTACTAAAATATTTTGATCTGAAGCGCTCGTAAAGGTTAGTGTGCTTTCCTAGTTCCTTTCCCTCTTCCTTTTTTAAATCCTTAAATAGATATTAGATATGTCTCAACTTAAGAAAATGGAACAAAACCTCTGTATTCTTGTCATGCTTGGATTCTTGGCTTGTGTGAGTCAGCATTGCCTTGTGCTTGGGAAGGAGGAGCATGTTCCCATAGTGTCTACGGACACATGGATTCACTGGCTGCTCTGTAATCCTGTAATATTTTACTGTCTTCACCACAGTTCAGTAGAGTAAGTAGCATATGCGGTGCCATAAAGGAGGAACAAGGCAAATACCTTCATTTTTTTCTGCCAGTTCATATAGTTTGTATATGTAAAAGCATTAAAAAAAAAAAAAAAACCAAAAAAAAAAAAAAAAAACCTACACTGTCACATGAACAGTTCAGAACAACTGAGCAGTTGCTCCTCTTCCCATGTTGCTCAGGATTTTCACAATCCTGGTCATATTCTTCCTTGGTACTCTCTCTTAAATGGTGAAAATCTTACTTTAGTTATTCCTCATGGAGATGCCCATCTTGCTTTCTCTGGCTCAAATGTTTATTAAAAAAAAAAAGATATTTGGGTAAATCTAAACTGTGAAGAATATTCTTATTGCAAGTGTGTGATTGATTTATAGTGGTGTACTAGTGTTTTCTTCCTGTCAAAATAATTGCTGTCAGTTTAACTGTTTCATCTGCCACAGAGATGATGTTTTTAATTCTACCTTAGTATAATTCTTTAATCTTTCTTCTTGTATAGGTAGAATTTGTTCTGGAAGTTCCTTTACTTTCTTCCCAACACTTTTGTTGTGTAAGAATGTATGAGAGAGAAATTTAATTCAGGCTACAAATGGTAATTTTTTTTTAAGCCCTAATTTTCTTCTGAGCTTTGTTCTGTTTTGTCTCAGCACACACAACACAGTTTACTCAGCCAGGCTGGTCATACTTGCAAGTGGATGGACACTTAGAAGGAGGTGGAAGTTTTGTAGCTCTGACAGATGGCCTAGGAAACCTTACCATCATCATTGAAACTATGGTATGTCCATCAGAAATTCCAGTGAACTAGAGAAGAAAAAGGAAATATTTATTATGAAGAACCTGTTTTGATTTATGTGGTTCAATATCTGTGAATTATGGTCTTTGATGCTTGTGCTTGTAGCTTTGTTAGTGAGACCATTAGAGATGCTCTTTTCTACCTTCGAATAGCTAGTTGAGTCTTCCTAGAGACCAATGTATGTGTCATCTTCATATCACAAATTAGCTTTAATATAATGATACTCTGGGAGGAAATGCTAAATACAGTATTCAAAGTAAAATTACTAAGCTAGTATAGTTACAGTTATCATTAAGATAACAGTGAAATAAATAGCTACTGATTGATCCTGTGTTGCCTTTTAATTTCAGTTTATGCTGTATGTTTTTCATGAACATTGCCATGTGATGCATTCTAGTAAAGTATATTTGTTATTAATTTTTTTTCTTCAGACTCACAATCACTCTCAATGTATTAGGCCTCCACTGCCTCATTTCAGTGTGAAACCTCAGAGGGCAACTTTCTACCTCAAAGGGTCATTTGTAAGTAATTCTGGAACACATTTGGTCAGTCTTGCAAACTGAATTGCTCTCCGTAATCAAATACATATAAGACAGTATTACAGGTCAGTAAAAAATGGGAGGTCTTTACCTCCAGTACTAGAGGCCATTACACGCCTGGCAAAGTTTTACACATCCTAGTTCTGCTTTTACCATGAGATGTAATGTCATAACTGAATTTGTAGTATTAATACCTCCCAGTCTAATCATCTGTATATTGGAGAAAAAAATCCACGGAAGTGTAATCAGATTTTTCTTTAGGATTTATTTCAAGACTGGGTGCTCTGACATGCTGACATAGATTTACTGGCTATCCTGGCCATGACCTTTCTAGTTACCAGCTCCTCTCCAGGAGACTTAACTGCAGTTGATTGTATATTGTAGGTTATGCTGTTCCATCCTTTGAAGAGATATTTTGAGAATCTCCCAGTTGTTTGGTTTTTTTTTTTTTTTTAAATCTCGCTAAACTACATTTCCCTCTGAACTGTGAACAGTCAATACTTTTTCAGTGTAATCTTTGTTAGTTGATTTGGATAATTGCTTCTAAGAAGGTGAAAGTGTGTGTTTATTTGGAATTAGAGTTCTGGTGGCATGGTTTCCTTTCGTTTAGGAGGAGATAGTTTGGACAATACTTTTGTCAATAAAATGATTTGCTTAGGAAAAGTAGTTGAGTGTCACTTCTGATACACAGCTTCCTTTTGGGGGAAGTATCAGATAGCTTATCCAAAACAAATTCTGGCTTGCTTGCTTTGTTGTTCATCTGAGTAGCTGTAGGGGTTGGATGTGATTCAAATCTGTAACTAATGTAGTTGATGTGCCATAATACTGCAGAAGTTTAGATATCTGTGAGCCGTGTGCTTATCTCAAAAATCATTATCAAAGAACCACCAACTAAACTAAAGGTCTCATTAAAACACAATTAGCAGGAGATTGTTCCAGCCTGGTTACTCCTAGGCAGGGTGCTTGTATCAAAGGGTTACTGCTGCTGGCAACAGAGAAGCTAAAGTTTGCTTGGGTGATTGTAATGCTTTCTGTCCTTGTAAGCAACTGCTTGTTAGCACAATGGCTTATTGATGTATCATCTATAAAAAGCCAAGCCCTGTGTAATGGCTAGCTGAACAGAGTTCTGGCACATAATGTCATCAGCAGCTGTAAAATAACAAAAAATAGTTACCCTTAGAGAACTGGTATTTCTGAAGGTGAATATTTAAAGTTTGTTTGGTTAGTTGGTTTTCTTTGTTCTTTGTTTTGGTTTATTTGCCTTTTTTTTAAAAAAAATAAAAAAAATTGTGTTGTTTCATTGCAGTATATGGTGGAAACCCTTCAAGTGTGGCATTCTAGACTTGATTTTGAATCTGGAAACTCTACTCTTTTCCAGCAACTCCATCCTGTAAAGGTGAGTCAATCTCAGTTCAATTATAGTCTAGCTGCAGTTTGTTTTTTCTTCCCCCTTTGCTGGAACTCCTGGACTTTCATGCCTAAACTGTATAATTAGGGATAACTAATACCCTGCATAAAACTGTGTAAGTCTACCTGGAAAGAACAGAGTTTAGAGGAAAAGGGGTTTTCAAAATAGCTTGGAGATACTCGGTGCTGCAACAAGAAGACAGGATTTTTGCCTTATGTCAGGACTTCAGAGGATCTCCTTTAATTCAGGAACTTTGGTGTTTTATTACTTAGTAATTTTATTTTTGCAGCTTGAGCTTTCTCTAATTCCAGGTGTGGAAGGGAAGTTTTTCTTTAGATCTAAAATTGGATGAAGTCTACACTTTAACCACGCTCAAGACAGGGCAGAAATGTAGATGCCCAGAGCCTCCACCACCTCAGCCCTTTCCTTCAAATTACAAAGATGATTTCAATATTCGTAAGTCAGGATTCTTTTATCCAAATACTTAATTCACACACAGGTACAGTCTTAATGTAGAAAGCTAATAACATTATGTTAAGTCCTCTAATGTAAACAATATGAAGTAGTCTGAATGTTTGTTTTACTTCTGTTTATTTATACCTGCTTCTCCAATGACTTACACCTGTATACTTCACTTGCAATGAGGTGTATGTAATTCTTTGTCTAAACTGGGTGGTCCTATTGCAAATGACACAGCTTATAACTATAGTGAACTAGTGTTTGGAAGAAAGATGGGGAAGAATGGAAATGACTTTGTTAACGTGTTTGCAAAAACTTGAGTCTGCTTAACAACAAAACCAAAAATAAAATCACCTTCCAGCTCCCAAAACTTTAGTTTTGGAGATTATTCTTTGATAGTATAAGTCAAAATTCTGGAGAATGTTTTCAGGGAAAAATTCTGAAAACAAGAGTACACAGAGAAGTAATGGTTTAGTGTTGATACATGTTTTATTTTCTGAACAGGTAATCCACCTTTCAGTGAAGCTCCAAATTTTGCAGATCAGACAGGTGTCTTTGAGTACTTTGTAAATGCCTCTGACCCAGGAGATCATGTGTTCACACTCCGCCAGGTGGTGGTTCAGCGACCCATCACTTGGGTTTCTGATGCAGACCAGACCATCAGTCTCATAGGAAATTTTCGGTGGTATGTAAATCCTATTTTCTGGTGACACCTGGGGAAATGTCCTCCTTACTCTAGAATGAGTTATCAGTCTGTCTCAAGCCTCATTTCTCTTGGATGGAGGACTTTTGCATTGAAACTCTCTGTAGACATATAGAAATGATGACTTAAAGGGACTTCCAGAAGCCGTTAAGCCCTACTCAGGGCTGTTGGCAACTCTCATAGATCAGCTGCTTCTGTCTGAATGAGTCTTTAAAATGTCCAAGGATGGAGAGTCTGCCACATCTCTTGGTAGCTTGGTCCACTGCTGCACGGTCTTGGGAATTTGTTTTTCTCATGTCCTGCTGGGCATATGTATTCAGGCTGATTTTCAGGTTGATAGGTCTGGGGTGGCATATTAGAAATACCATGTCAAAATCCTCATTCAAAGTGCACACAGAGTTTCAGTATGTTTTTGAAGGGGACAAAAAACATGATTCAGATTCAATTAGTTAATTTTGAATTTTCTTGCTTGATTGTTAACAATTTGATCAATCTCATATCAATGAAATATTCTGAGACTTAATTCAGTTATTTGTTACAGACTGCCATCTTCTGAGTGGTTCCTAGAATCCTACAGATTCAGTTGAACTGCTGCCTAAACCAGTTTTGTGTCTGGGTAAATGTAACAGATATACTGGTTTGATAAGAGTATGGTTATGGTTGCATTGAGCTCTATAACGATTATAAATAGGAATCGAGCCACATGTTTTGCATAATGTTTATTTAAAATTAAAAAGCCTATGGGAAAGAGCCTGTAAACTAATTGGTTTATTAATAGCATGTAATGCTAAACTTTATGCTTAAACCTTTTTCTTCTGTTTGGAAGTCTAGCTTAAATTCTTTTGATATGTTCCTTAAAATAGCTATTCTGTCAGATTTTTTTTTTTAATTTTGATTAGATCCTTGATCTTCCACTTTTTCAAAACATGCTTCATGTTTCTAACTTCTGCCCTGGACAAGTGATTGAATCACTTTGTTCTGAAGCCTGGAAGAATATCACCATCTTGTAGCTGGATGTTGTTTTTCAGTTACCTGATGTTTTCTTCTGCAGCCCGCTGTTAAACAAAGTCTCATATTCCCTCTGTAATCAACTTTTCCTAATCGAGTAGATCATATTCAGTGATCCCTATACTGGCTACACAGGGTGTATTCTTAAATTACTGTACTGAGATTCTTAAAAACTTCCAATTATTTCATTTTGTTTCACTTTTTTTCTGAATTTTCATCTTGTTTTCAGAACTAAGCTTGCTTCCTGAATATTCACCTGGCTTTTCAAATTTTACTGATCTGTAACTTTTCATGATAGTCTTCAGTTTCAGGTGGTCTGATTAGTTTGCTTCATCCTTGGTTTAAAGTTCATCTTGTCTTAGGGAGATGTTCTCAACCATTAGTACATGCTGCCAAAATACTGAACCAATGTTGCACTGAATTTCTCTGTGGAGTGGTATAGGCTTCAGTCATCAATGGCAATTTATTGTGATTAACTTTCAGGATCATTAATTTGGTTTTAGTTTGGATTTTAATCTTGTGCTTGTGAAAGCTTTTTGTTTCTGCTCCTAAATTTGTTAGTGTTTTGCCATGATGAGTTTATTGAACTTAGCTGTATCCTGAAAATACTGCTATGTAACACATCCTGCGTTACTTCTAATGTCTTTAGAATGGCTTAAGCAAAATGTGAGGGTTTTTTGTTTGATACACAGGGAGGCAAGAAAGAAACCTTATTTATGTAATGACTATATTTCCAAGAATCTGGGTACTTCTAATAGCGTTACATTATTGTAAATAATGTAATTTTAAAAATAAATAAATAAAATTTTACAAACAGTATTTGTTAAAACACTAAACTTCTCTTACAGGGTAAACATGACAGTCACTTGTGACATCTACATAGAGAAGCAACGTGATGGGGGCGTGTTTATTGGAGGGAGGATCGACAATGGTGGGATATACGTTCGACGTACCAGAGGAGTTTTCTTCTGGGTTTTTGCAGATGGCACCTACAGAGTCACTGGTGACCTAGGTAAGCAGCTCTTTGCTGAAGTGGATACTGATACATGGACATGCCATTTTGATAACCTTGATAAAAATGACTAGCATTCAGATTGTGTAATTCAGTTGTCATCACTATGAATTTAACCCGTTGCACTCTAATGATGGCCACGTTTTTTATATGTGGAGAGTATCTGAAGGTTATTGGCTGGTCTACTTCTCAATCTGAGCTTTCTGGATTTATTTGTTTTTCTTCTCTGCTGACAGAAACCTTTTTACAATAGCAAATATAAATTATTTTACTTTTCATAGGTACTCTGATACAATATTGAATACAGATCAAACGTTTCTGTAATTTTTGTACTACACCTAAAAAGAAAATCCTGCTTGAAATGCAGTGGCCTGTCTTGTAGAACAGTGCAAGTCCATGTATGTACATGTGGTTTAGGTGATGATGATAAGTGGCCCACTGTTCCCACAAATTATGCCTCCTACTGTTAGTCTAGCTCAGTGGAGTGAGAATGCATTCTACTTGTGATGCGAACATTCGTGTGCATTCACCTAGAGAGCACTTGACAAGGGCATGGAAGAGTGTATGTCGTAGCTCTTCATCAACAGCTAAAGGTTCTTTTTAATTTGCTTTGAAGTAGTGGCAGAATTTGTTGCTTAAATGCATTTCTTATCACTTCATGAGTATAAATTAAAATTTTCAATAGCTTCTGATGAGTCAAGTGCAACTTCTAGATCTAGAGTATATATGCTATGAAGACAGCCTGTTTCACACTTTACTGGACCTTAACAACAGTCATCTTCTATTTAATAGCTGTATCTTCTAACTTCTTCTCAGTTTGCCTTTTTTGTGTTGTTGTTTGTGGTTTTTTTTTGTTTGTTTGTTTATTTTTACCATGGATGGATAGTGTGAAGGAGGCTTTACACTAACTTCTCTTAACATACCAGTGCTCCCTAGGGAAACTTTGCAATGTCTCACTCCATAACAACTTAAACTTCATCTGTATGTAAAAATATGCTCACATTTAGGATTGACTTCAGTATTTATTTGTAATAACACATAACAACATTACACAGTTAGTTTGCCAGGCTGTCAAAAATTATTTTTCCTAGATGAAATGAGAGGATTTTGATGAACCACCTCATTATTTCAGCCTGAGACGCTCATTACACAATATGATTTTTTTTTTTTTTTTCCCTCTATAGCTATTTTCAGCGATCTTTGTTTTTCTAGAAGGGAGTCTGGATGTTAAATTAACTTGCAGCTAAAACTGTCAACTGAATAACTGAAGATTCTGCTTGTAGTGCTTAATTTTTTTAAGCAATATGATGATGTGGCAACTCAAACCCTACTATTTAAAAAAGTTCCAATATGTAAACATGGAGATCTATAGAACAAGCAGAGCAATAGCTGCTATCACACTTCATTAATTCATAGTCTGAATAGAGGAAATCCTTATCTCGGGTTAAATTCACAAGAGTATTGGAGATTTGGGTGAAAAAACAATCCTGGTAGAACAGGAGAATGCACTGGTAATGCAGAGTCCAGGTTTGTGTGTTAAGTCTTCCATGCTGCAGCTGAAATTGGTAAGATGTCAGTCCTGAACACTTCTGAAAAATGGGTACTATTTTCCTTTTGCTGGCTTGGTATTTATCAGCCTTGGCAAGAGAGTGAAGTACACTTTGCTAACCTTAAGCCTGTTTTGCAGCTGGAGAAGAAATATTAATGAAAGGACTTTCTGGTGTCCGGGATAATGCATGGCACACGCTTACTCTAAACATTCAGGTAAGGATAGAGGCAAAAAGCTACAAAACTTCTAGTCCTAAATGGTTTAGGCAAAACTATGCTATACTGTCAACCATCTACATCTGTTAGTTTGCCCTGTCTAAAAGATAAATATATTTAAATAATAATTTAATTTAACATAATTAAAAAAAAAATCTGTTATTTGAAACCAATATTAAAATACCATACCAAGTTTTGCTGCCTGTATTTTTAAGGCGATCTTGAGAAACTGGCGAGGATATAGAAAATAACTGGAAAGATGAGTTGAATGCTGGAGATAGGAGGGTTACAGAGACAAATCTCTTCTTGAATCTAATGAAAAGATCATGGCCTGACTTCCTGTTCTGAAGACTTTCAGCAGACTACTAAACGAGCCTGTTTTACAAATCTGGCTCACACCGATTCCCTTTGTGTGCCTTGGCCTAAGGTCTTGTGTGTGGAGCTGGCTAAGGACCTGGAAGTCGGGTGAGCTGTCATCCTCCTTTCCTATAATGGAGAAGCATGGGCATAGTGCTGCTGTGAGCATTTAATGGGAAGCCTGGCCACAGTTTTTTCCTCTGCCCGCTCCCCACCCCCTCCACTCCTTTGGGCTTTAGTTACTTGGTGAGGAAAGTAGCCCCAGGCTCTACTTTAAATGTACTTGTGCACTTAGCTGGGTGTGACATAGGTTGGAGTAACTGAATGGCTTTAAGTTCCTCTGTGGAATGCCTGAGCCCTTCGCCTAATGTAACCTTTGCAACTGTGATGTGGCCTGAAATATGGGGAAGCTTGAAACCTAGCTGCGGAGATCTACTGAAGCAAACTCTCTCTTAAAATCACACACCAACTCTTTCCCTCATCCTAAAATGTCAGTGAGTACTAGAAGCTCTTTTTTGTTCTTTGTGCTTTCACACTGGGAGACAAAGGGATGATGGTACCTGAGGCACAGAACTGGAATGGATGTATTCTAGTTTTGGCTTTGGTATACTCTCACTTCTGACAGTGATTGCTATGTGTGAAATGGGCAAAGACCCTTGCTAACCTAAATGCGGTGCTGATGATGAACATCAATTCTTTAAAACACAAAATGGTGATAATTTTAAAATTATGCTACTAACTTATTTTTGTGCTCTTAAAGTATTCTGTACCAAATACCTTTGATGTAATGACAGAAGTGCAGACCCCTTTTTAAAGAATTCTATGTGAACTTCTTGAAGGGCATTATTTGCTTTTACCTGTGTCTGTAATTGACTTTCAAATTAATACAAGTAAATGGAACTACATTTTTCCCCAAGTACTGTTTAGTGGAACTCTGGTAACATAAATTGTAACTTTTCATGGCGCTGTTTTTAATTTTCATGGTGACATGATACTTGAAAGTTCTGCTGTCCCCTTTTCCTCTCAGCTTAGTGGCCAAAATAAATTTCTCCCTCCTTTTGGATTTTGCCTAATTCTGCACAATCAGTGTGAAGTGTATCACATTCCATTAAGACAGTTGGGCTGTTTGGGAGAGCCTGACATAAATGGATGAGGAAAGCCTTTCAGTTTCTACACCAAGTTTGCAAAGCTGTGAATTAGGTGTTGATGATCCTTTAATACATGCTCTGTAAAGGCATTGGATCTGTTCCACAGAGCTGATAGGCACTGGTGGAGCCTATGCAGAAGTGCCTTTACGTGGAAAACGTGTGAAATGCTGTTGAAAGTTGACTTGACATCTTTCTGCCTTGTCTCTTCTCCCATATGAGTAGGCTCACTGTCAACACAATCACTGGATTTTACAAAGCTAACTTTTTCCTTTTTTTGACAGGGCACTTCTGCCTCAGGGCTGCTAAATGGTTATCCACTCTGGGAGAACGTCACCGTTTCTAAGCCCAGCAACGGCTGGGCTGCTATCGGGACTCGCTCGTTTGAATTTGCACAGTTCGACAACTTCCACGTTAAAGCCAGCTGAGGTGGCTTCTGTGTTTGAGGAACTCGGTTCTCATATTCCTTTGGATAAGAGCCAGCTCAAACTTTGAGGACAGCTTAACGCTATGCTGAGATTGATCTGTTGGCAAGGAATCCGAATTCTGTCCTTAATATTTGTTGAAGGTTTACTTGAGTAGGTATCAGCATGACTGTAACTATGCCCTGGTTGCTATGGGGGTTTTGCCCTTCACTTTCTAGGGGCAAATTTTAGTTCAAGGTAATAATGAAAATAAAATAATGGATTTTAAATCTCTTTTCATAACAACATCTTAAGTTCCCAGCTCACTTTTAAGATAACTTTGGAAATTAACAGAAGACAGAGGCATCTCAAGCTGCTTTTTTAACACTTACCTGATTGAGTCCATTCCTTTCACTCTGAAACAACTAAATGCCAGTAAACATTATGAGACAGTGGCCCCATACTTTTCTAAGTCTGTCATTCAGATTTCATTTGGACGAAGTACCTAGTTTTTCTACATTAAAAAAAGATGTTTTGTCTGTTTTTTTCTGGTACAGTCTGAAGCTAGACATTACAGTACTCCAAGTGCATTTGATTACTTCTTCCTGATTACTTCTTCCAGCTTTCATTGCCAGCCCTAAAATAGATCATATTTTCAAAATGTGCCTTATGGCTGGGAAGGTAGTGCAGGACGTGTCTTTTAAACTACCTCCTCTTTCCAATGAAAGGGTTGAAATGGTTGAATAGATACCATAACTTGCAGTTTGTTAATGATAGCCTTGTGGGGTTTCATTTTGCATGATGCAAAGAATTAAAACTGTATCATGGATGCTGGCAAGCAGAGTGCTTGCTTTTGTGTCGGGTCATATGTGGAAAAACTGACCTTTTGTTCATGGAAACTTGGGTAGCCATCTCTCTTTTGATTGATCTGATGCTTGGAGCAGAAAATAATTAAAGCATAACAGTATTATTTAGCTTATTATATTACTGTAGCTCAGAGGACATACAGATACTATCACATCCTGGTATAGAAAAAGAAAAGAAACAATCTTTGCCTTTAAGAGCATGCGGTCTGCTCATAAGGTGAGTGACAGTGATAGGTGCAGATAGAATTGGATTGTGTGCCAGGCAGTGGTATTGCTGCAGTAGTGTCTGATTTAAACTTTTCTAGACATCGTGGAGTAAAGTTCAGAGGGAATTTGAGATCCGTGGGAAAGGAGGGATTCTATTTTGCTGTCGCTGCTTTTTTTTTTTTCCCCCAAAGTTACTGTGCTACAGAAAATCATTGAGGATGCAGTGAGGTACTGAATGGGATTTTCATCACACACACACTCCAAATTCAGTTGACTTCTGAATTTTTCTTGTTTGCCATTGGTCAGTTTGAATGAAGGTGATGTCTGGTGCCATAACGAAACACGTCTCCCCTGTCTGTCTGCTTTTCAAATTCACATCCTATTTAATTGAGGAGTTCCACTGACTTGGTAGAACACTAATAGCTGAATGAAGCTATCTGTGACAGGCAGATGGTATCTTCAGAAACAGATTTGCAGTTTACTTCAATTTATACAGATTATTTTGATCCACTTTTATTTTGAAGCCTGATTGCACTAAGTGTTAAATGCAGTCTTCAAAATAGTCATCTAATATAGAGTTAATGTAATACAAATAATTAGTGGAAAGTTTTTGTAAAGATTATCTTCCAAATTGGCTTTTGGAGGAGAGATGTCAAAATTCCATATCTAATAAGTAAAAGTCTCTCTTAGTTGTTATACTGATACTGCTATTCATTGCTTATGAATCACTCATACATCCAAGTTTCGTACGTGCTAGTAACCCTGAAAAATGGTCAAAACCACTAAACATTAAAACTCTTGTAAAAAGCTTTGAAATATTGACTATTTACTTAACCGGGGTGAAAAATGAGAGCCATTTTTCCACTTTATTTCCATTTGATGGTTGAAGTATGGATGCAAATCTGTTCATTACTTGCTTCGTTTCAGAAGGTATGTCACTGATAACTCCAGATGTGAAGGAATCTCATTTTAGGTCTTCATATTCAAGTAATATGAGTATAGAAGTAGTTTTCAGAATAAGCTTATTTTAGCTGTGATGGATTTTCCTAGTAGGGTACTTCTTGGAGACTTCATGTTAGCTTGTGTGGCTGCGTGTTTGTGTAAGAGAGACCAGCAATGATACAGTTATTCCAGGAGAGCTGTTGAGTTTTTTTTACCTTTTAATACACTAGTGTAATACACTGTACTGTTATGTTGTGTACTAAACACAATGTATTTTGTCACTGGAAATGTTGATTTTTTTTCTAATCTTAATTTATAATGTTAGAGGATTAAACTGTTATGAAGAGAGTAAGTGATTTAATATGGTGATATAATGTTATTCATCTTTATATGTCTGTAATTCTTCACCCTTCAGCAGGCTGTAATATGTTTGGCAATAACAAGCTGTCAGGTCTTTCAATGAGGGGTGGATTTATGTTGTTGATTATAAATACTAATCATTCCAAATGGCCAAATAAAACACTTAAACACTCTTTATTTGTGCAGAGTGCTTCTGTAAATGGGTCTTGGTTTTCTCCGGTAAGAAAGCTGACAGTTTTTCCATTACCATTGCTGATAAATATGCTTGGCATGAGCTCACGTGTGTTGGAAGAGTTTTTCTGACACTCTGAATAGCCAAATGGTCCTCATTAACACGTATCTAAAAATCCATATGCATTAGGACTTGCTCTATTGATAAAATGTTGTTGCATTTTTTTTTTAAGGTATGGAAACGGTGCTCTACGGCTGTACTTCTAAAGCTTAAATGAGGCTTCTTCATTTTGAATATCCTTTTGAATATAGGTTAAAAATGTGGGGGTTCTGTTGCCTCTTTTTTTTCCTTCCTAAATTTGAGGGTTCAACTTTGAAAGAGAGGGAGAAATTCCATAGAGCTATTCATGTTTTCCAAGCCATCGTGCCAGTAGATATGAATTACCTTGGAAATACTCTCTCAGTAGCCAGGTATGTGCTGCCACCTACACAGACACTGCATCAAAATGAATTCTGTCCCTTCTCTGCCACCAACTGCTTGGAGTTGAACACAGTGGACAGTTCTTGGGATTTTCATACTCCTGCAAAACACCAGGACTGCTTTGCTTTAAACTTGCAGGGCATTCACTACTTCAGGCTATTGGTGGTAGTTCCTTTTGCAGCCACCTCCTGGTTTCATGATACCAAAAGTAAATTTCTAGTTCAGGGTTTGTTTTGGAGTGGTAGTGCTTTGCTCTTTCCTTATTGAATCCGTTTCATTGCGTGGTAGCAGCAGGTTGGTGTTTTTTCATTGACTTACCTGAAGCTTCTATCCCCTGTGTTTTCTGGAGGGGTGTGCATATTGTGAAAATAGCCACTGTAATTATTGCTCTTTGGCAATTTCAGCAGCATGGCCGAAGATGTACAGTGCTTGGAGATTTTATTGTCCTCACCTGGATGTTGTGGGTTTTTTTGTGGAGGTTGTTTTTTTTATCCTTCTTGTAAGTACTACAGTCATACAAGCATACCACATGCTGAGAGTGGGTGTGGGTATAGGAGAAAGATTGTAAAAAACAAACAAACAAAACAAAAAAAAAAACACCACAACCCAACAAAGAACCCCATAATCTTAAAAGACTGACTAGGCTTGTAGCAGAATCATCAGGTAGCTAGTTTAAGGTTTTGTGGATATTATACTTTGATATATGATGAGAAGAAATAGCATGTGCCGATTAATGTCAGGGCTTGTTGAAACAGAGAAATAAAAGTGCAAATGATTATCCATTTTTTTTTAACAAAGGTATCTTAAGTAAAGGTTAAATGTTTTTGCATGTGACCGGAACCTTAGCAATCATCCTGCCTATATTGGTAGGGCATGAAAAGTTGGCATGAGTAAGTTCCGCTTGCCACTAGAAATGTTCCTTTCATTTATGCTCAAGTCTCACTGAAACAATAAAGGTGTTGTTTCTAGAACCTGTTTAAAAAAAAAAAAAAAAGAAACCCAAAACAAACACCAAACCAGAACACCTACTAGCAACTGAGCAGAGGAAATGTGTGTTGCAGCAGTGCTGCCAAGCTTTCACTGTGTGCCAAGATACTGCTGTGCAGTTTTCATAGTGGCTAAGACAAACAACTATAAAACAGTATTTTTCCTCCTTAAGGAGTTATGTTTGGATGAGGTTAGAAACAGATACAGACTCCAAACATCAGTTTTGTCAGGGGGCTCCAAGTAACTTTGGCAACTAGTGCTTTAAACCTGTCCTTTACTTTTGTACACTCCAGGCTGAACCTGGACATATTTCTGGAAAATGGAGACCAAAGTAACCTGGAAGTATTTGTTGTGGTTGATAATTGTTTTTTTTTTTTTTTTTTTCTTTTTAAAAGCCTTTTCTTTTGGTATCAGGTGTAGCTGGCTGTAGTAGAGGATGGCTCAGTACAGTACTAACTCAAGGGTTTGCAGAAGAACACAGCCCAGTATGCTAGGCTAGTGTTGTGCAGCCATCGTCTGGGAACCATTGATGGCTTAAGACAGAACACCAAAATTACTATTTAAAGAAAAACCACCAAACAATAAACCCCCAAACAAACCTCTCTGCATGCGTGTCCAAGTAATAGGAGGAAAAGCAAAGAACAGTCCAGGTTTAGCTTGACTTCCTTTGTTCAGTTCCCCTGGGAAATGATCATCTTCCTTGCTGTTTTCCTTGAAAAAGAATTTAATAAAAATGCCTATACAGAATACAAGACTTCACTGTTGCTAAAAATCCAGTGGTATTTAGCTAATTGTAGACACTGCCATTTTCCAAGAACACTGGGGTTAGAAAAGGTTAGTGAACATGCCCACAGGCTTCGTGGCTGTAAGGTCTGCCTGTCTGTGCCCTGCCCATCGGTCCTGCTCCTGGTTGCATAAGGTTTCTTCTCTGCTAGCATAGCAGCAGAACTGTAAGAAAAAGGAACGTTTCTGTTACTGCCACCTTCCTTCCAAGGTTTTGGGAAGCTTCC